TAACAAAACCATTATACCCTGATTTCCCATATTCAATGGGTTCAGGGTATAAAAATAATAATAATGTAACAGACGTGTATTCTTCTGTGGTCAGAATCAACTACCTTTTTTATTCAATATGTATTCAATTTAAATATTACATAAATTGCTTAATCTACATATGTATATGTGGTTTACAATATATTTTGTGTTGACATTACTTGGATTGCATTTTACATTTTCGTTTTAAATTCGACTGTGGATATCCCGCCTAACGCAAGCCGAGTTTCGATTTCGATATGTATCGTTTAGCGTTTTCAAAATGCAGTTACCATATTTAGTGCTTTTTTGTCCACCATGAAATCTAGTCTGAAATATCGATATAATATGTAAACAGATTGACGATGATTGGCTTATCGATACAAGCCTAGTCCGTGTTTGCTCATATATTTGATGAAACACAATTGTGCCCAAGAAATAACGAAATAATAATTATAGAACCTTGACAGGCACGCGAATCACTAACCAAAATGGCACTAGCCATTAATAAACCGCAGTCGTTCATTGAAACGATTGTTGGCATTCCGCCGCTAAAGAAGCTGCGTCTGCAGGCATCGGCGCCGCCAGCCAACAAACCGAAACCAAAACCGGAAAGGAAACTTCATGTATTAGCACTGCTCGAACCGTATCTACCGGCTAGTAATAGTGGCAGCAGCATCATAGTGCCCGGCATAGGCTCGATGCCTGTTGCGAGCATAGGCCCAGCCAATGCCAACCAGACAAAGGAGCTGCTGGAAGTGCTTGTCAAGATAACGGATGAGATTGTCTATGATAATGTGCAGATAGCAGAGCTGAAAGAGGCTGCCACCAAAATATTCCAGCTGTATCAGGCGCAGGAGCGCGACAACGACACCTCAGTCCGTGTGAAACTGCTGGAGCTGCTGTCGGGCCTGGGCTGTGAGTCTGGAACTGAAGAGGGCATCACTCTAATCATCGACTACTTCATTTACCTGCTGCGCAAGGAGACCTCACAGAAGGTGCTCGCCCAGGGCATGATGTGCCTATTCCGCATCGGACAGCAGCGCCGCCAAATGGTGCCGCTGGCATACAACACCCAGGTGGCCCATCTGGCCAAGGAGCTGCTCCGCAGTGGATCCACCCATACACAGAAGAATGCGATGTTGGTAATAGGACGCTTTGCCACCTGCCATGAGAGCGAGCGCCAGTATGTGTGGAAGTTGGCCTTCTACATTGATTCACAGGATTCGGGCGTGCGTGCCCAGGCGCTGCATGCCCTGCTGACCCTGGGCGAGCGTGGCTCCCACCTGCCGCCAGTGTTGTACAAGCGTGCCGTGGAGGCCATGAAGGATGACTACGAGTGCGTGCGCAAGGAGGCGCTGCGCCTGGTCCACATGCTCGGCAATCGGCATCCGGACTACATCATTAATTTTGAGCGCCATCACGAGGATATACGCATGATCGACGCCGCCTTCAGCAAGGTCTGCGAAGCGCTCTGCGACCTCTCGCTGCAGATCCGCGTCCTGGCCGCCGAACTGCTCGGCAGCATGACGCACGTCAGCAGCGAGTACCTGCACCAGACCCTGGACAAAAAGCTGATGAGTAACCTGCGCCGCAAGCGCAACGCCCACGAGCGTGGCGCGCATCTGGTCACCAGTGGTGAATGGTCATCGGGCAAGCGCTGGGCAGACGATGCCCCGCAGGAGCATCTGGATGCGCGCAGCATTTCTCTTATAGCCAGCGGTGCGTGCGGCGCGCTTGTGCACGGCCTGGAGGACGAATTCCTGGAGGTGCGCACCGCTGCCGTGGGCTCCATGTGCCAGCTGGCCATGTCGCGCCCAGACTTTGCGGTGACCAGCTTGGACTTCCTCGTCGACATGTTCAACGATGAGATCGAAGATGTACGCCTGAAGGCCATCTACAGCCTGACGGCCATTTCACGGCACATTGTGCTGCGCGAGGATCAGCTAGAGATCATGCTTAGCTCTCTGGAGGACTACTCTGTGGATGTGCGCGAGGGCCTGCACCTGATGCTCGGCGCTTGTCGCGTTTCCACCCAGACCTGCCTGCTGATGGTCGTGCAGAAGCTGCTCGATGTCCTGGCCAAGTATCCGCAGGATCGCCACTCGACGTACGCCTGCATGCGGAAAATTGGCCAGAAGCATCCGCATCTCGTCATGGCCGTCACTGGGCACCTGCTCTACGTGCATCCGTTCTTCGAGACGCCCGAACGCGATGTCGAGGATCCCGCCTACCTGTGCGTTCTCATTCTGGTCTTCAACGCCGCCGAGCACCTGGTGCCCATCATCAGCCTCCTGCCCACGGCCACGCATCGACACTATGCCTACCTACGCGACTCCATGCCCAAGCTGGTGCCTCAGCTGCCCATTGAGGGCGCCTCCTCAGCGTCCACAACGAAGCGTGTTGAGGACGGCCTTCAAGCCGTCGGCAGCTCCGCCGAATATCTGCAGATGATTCTCAACCACATTGGCGAGGTATTCACGATGACCGACGATCGCATCGAATTGCTGAAGACGGCGCAGTCGAATCTGCAGGTGAGATAGAGAGCAAGAAAGATGGAAAGAGAGAGCGAGAGGATAGATTGATATAGAGAGAGAACTTGAAGGCTTAAAGAGAAATGCAAGAGCGAGAGAGAGAGAGAGAGAGAGATGAGGATTTAGCGGAAGATATTTGCTTAATACTTGATCCCTCACTCCAAGATCCATTTAGTTAAGAACTTTCAGCGTAACAAAACTAAGGAGAGAGAGAGAGAGATAGCAAAGGCCAACCAGAGGTAGAGACTGAGAGAGTTATTTCTGTAATGCACTATATTCAAGATTTGTTTAAGAACTTGAAATAACGTTAGATCCAGAATCAGAGAGGAATACAAATATATATCTATCTACTGGTAATACTTAATTAGCAACTTTCAGTTGACAGAAATAGAGAGAGAAAGGAGACAAGTATATTTACTCAATGCATAATCTATATAGTTTTAACTAAACTTAATATAACTAAAACTAGTAATAGATAGACAGACAGAGAGAGAGAAAGATATATCTCGAATCAAATCATTCTTGTGTTATTATATTGTAGCCCAAGTAACGCCTGTTGGGTAAAGCCGACTTATCACTAATTCGATTCGCTTTGCTTTCAGCGCTTGGGCGCCATCGACTCGGATATGTATGGAACATCCAATTTCCTGGAGACCTTTCTCTCGGCACAAATACAGATCGAGCAGATGCAACGATGCACCAGCACCCAGCGCAGCCGCGTGCCGCTCAAGGAGTCGCTGGCGGAGCTAATACGCAACTGTCTGAAGCTGCAGCACACGTTCTCCGGGCTCAACTACGGCGACATTCTGCAGGTGAAGCAACTCAGACTGCGGGCCAGTGCGCTGCATCTGGTGCTGGTGGTGCGGGATAGGTCGCAGAGCGCGCTCGGACCCTGCCAGATGCTGTTGCAGACGGCTGGGGATATCAGCGCCTTTATGCAGACCCGCACAAAGACCACTTCCTTTGGAGAGCAGGCAGACGTGGAGTTGGACACGAAACTGAAGCTGAAGCCTCAGATGGGCCAAGCGGAGCCGGACAGTTTCACTCGGTCGCTGTTGTCCAAGCTGGATGCGATTACCGATCCGAAGCCGGGACGCGTGTTTCGAGAGATCTTACCACTTGTTCAGCATGCGCCGCCATTAGCTCTGCCGCCGGCCAACGAGAAGATTCGGCGTTGCATGGCCAACATATTGGAGCCGTGCCCGGTGCAGTCGCAGGACAACGTGATCAAGGTGACGGCCGGTCTGATTGCTGCCGTGCCGTTCGTGGCCGAGATTGATAATCTTCTGGAGTCGCAGAAGGCGGACATGCGCATCAAGATTAAGTATCCTGACCAGCACATGCACACCGTGGTGCCCAAGATGACGGACTTCAAGCCCATCATGACGGAGCAGGGCGAGCATGAGACGAACGTTAGGTTGCGCACAACGATCCTACTCTCGCACAGCGTCTGGACGGAGGCGTCGCTGGTGGAGATACAACTATGCCTCGCTGTGCGGCCTGGCAGCGAGCTGGAGCTCTGCAAGCCCGCCAAGGTTCTCTTTGCACCCAAGCCGGTGCGACGGGGCATTTAGCCATCCGATGAAGTTAGCAAACGGTCAAGAAAAAACGGCGTGAATCGTCGTGACGGCGCTGCAGGCGCCAGTTGACAAATTGTAGATTTATACATACAAATATACATACATATACATGCAAGCAAACACTGATATATGTACATATGTTTTACAAAAATTCGTAAAAATTGCATTATGTTTAATCAAAATAAAAAGTCGCCTTACAAATATCAAATGACTAGTCTATTTATTTTGTAACAACATAATCTTTTAACTACATGTGTATGTATAAAGACCTAAAAATATTAAATACCAAATCATTTGCGCCAAATCGATATTTATGAAGAAAACGCCATCTCGAAGACGTTGACAATTATCGCAAATTCATCGCGACTTCGCAGCATATGTGCTGCACGACTACCGATAATCTAGTAAAAAAGTGCTGTCGTCAACTTCAAATATCTGAATTTTTTTCTTAACATACATAAGTAGATACTTAAGGCTCTGAATTCGACAATTTCTATGCATTTAATGTATTAACTAAATCAAACGATAAACAATAATTATTTAATGCTGCTGAACGCATATCGATACTACTTCTCGACTATCGATATAATAATGGTCAGTCTGTCTCGTAATCGTAGTGCGTAGTTCGCGAGCAAAAGCTAACGCGAATAATTGGAAGCGGATAAGCCAAGCAAAGCTAAGCTGAAACGTGCATTATATATTACGAAATTGCAGCAGCCAGTTGAACAGTCTGCCTGCTTACTATATAAAAAAAAAAGAGTTTAAATCAAAGTAGAAAACTATATGTACATATAAAGAAATAGTGTATGTATGTGTTTTGGTGCTAGCATATGAGTGGCGAGTGTGCAGCTGAGTGTTTTCATTTCTTTCTTGCTTGTATAATTCATCAGCTGCCTGTCGCGTTCCTCCAGCGTCGACAATTGTCTCTTTCGCGTAGGAAGTGCAAAAACAAAAATAACAAAAAAAAAACGATCATTTGTTGAAAATATAAAAACGCATATCATGCTTGCATATATGTATATTATATATATATACAAATGTATGCATGCGCATGTGAAAAGCAAATAGAAAAGGAAACGAAATATGCACGAATAACGGAACAAAACGGACAAAAATGTTAGCTGGGAATAGTGTTCATTTTTATGCCTAAATAAACTGAACGGAAAATAGTTGGTTACCAGCCTGCAGAGATGTATGTGTGCGTGTGTGAATGTAAATGGGTGTTACTATGTCCAAGTGAACGAGTATGTGCATATGTATGAGTATATAAATATATATGAATACATATACATAAATCTGCACATGTGTGTATGTGTGTGCTTAAGCATGCAGAATCAGGCTGGCTGCAGTTGTTGTTGCCTGCCAAGTACATGCATACATATATCAATATATACTTGCATACATCGTAATTTGCATTTACATACATATATCTGTATAGGTCTATGTAAATTTATTCTGATATCTATATACATAAATTGCGTTTCAAATTGAATACTTAAAAGTTAAATTTGTTGATTTTTTTTTTTTTTATTTTTTGTTTCGGTTCTGTTCTGTTAATCGAAAATTTGCTTGCCGTTTCTGTGGCCTGCGCTACTGTTGTTGGCATGCGCGCTCTCGCTCCCACTTACGCGTGCGTTATTGCCATTCCGCTGTCATCGCGAATGCGTCGCGCGTTTTGTTTTTGTTTTGCTGCCAAAACTATTCATCGACAACAGCAGCAGTAGGCAGCAGCCTCAGCTGCGGCGATATTTGAATTATAACAAAAGCAATAAGAGCTATTATTATTCGATTTCACAATGTGGCCAAGCAACAGTTGCAAAAACATAATTTTATATGGAATATGTATGTAATTGACAAGAAAAGAAAAGCAACAGCCGCAGCAGCAGCAGCATTTGTATAAACTGTCAAATTAACATTAGTATAGAAGTATAACCGCAAGAGGGCAAACAAAACATAGTTATTGCTTTACATAGGCATTAAATACATACATAAGTTCATCTCAAATCTGTTGTATGTATGTTAATAAGTCAGTGTGTGCACTCGTTATTTTGGATGTATATAAATCAAACGACAAAACAATTAATGTTCAACCAAAACTAAACACCTCAATTGCGTTCAATATTTTCGTTTAGTAGGTAAATTGAAGTCAACCCGAAAACAAGCATCACTAACAGTAGCAACAACAGCAAAAGCAGCAACAAAATAACTGTTATATCGAACCAAGGACAAGCCAAGAAAATACATAAACTTGAATTAAATATACACACATATATAGAACTATAGATTAGAACGAGAGCATTCGAAGGAGAGAAAGAGAGACAGGGAGAGAGTAATATATATATATATATATATATGTTATATATACATATATATATATATATAAATAGAGAGTGAGAGTGAGGCGCACCACAATCGAGTAGCAACAGAAACCAAATATGGATCCTTACGATATGGAAGATGTTGTCGTTGTGCCACCGACCGAACATGACCACAGCTCCCCAATCAAAGAGTGGCGCCTCGCGCTGCAGGCCGGAACATTGACACGCAACGATTTCATCGACTATTTTAAAAAGCTAGCGCCCAAATTTTTCGAAGTTCATAATGAAATGGAAACAGGTGAGTGCCGCTCTAACCTACATAGCGTGAGAGAGAGGGAGAGTGTGTAAGAGTATATGTGTTGATGTTTGTCAGTGTGTGCGTGTGTGTGTGCTTGCCTATTTATCAGTCTATCTATGGGTGTGTGTGTGTGTGTGTGTCTTTATATAGTACTTGTATTGGAGTCGTGCTCTTGAATTCGATTTCATTGTTATCGTCATTGTGGCGTGCGCTCTCTCGTATTTTGTTTTCGCTCTTGCTCTTTTGTTATTATTATTTTGTTTTCTGTTTCCGTTTTCCTTTGGCATTATGCTGTTTGTGCTCTCCATTGGATTTCCGCGAATTAGCGCTCAGCCGCTCTTCCTTTCATTCGAGCTGATGCACGAAGTGTTAGCTGTCGTCTAGCGGCTCACCTGTCTCACCTATTCCATGCATCTATGCCTGCAACGAGCACCAACATTTGTTTATTACAAAACTCTCCAGCTCCGATCAGCTCAGCCCAGCCGAGTCTAGCCCAGCAACAATAACAAAACTAGTTTTGTGCCACATTCCGCATTAGAGGCGTATTTATATTTATATATCATATATTTATATAGTTATATGTATACCTATACATCGAATACCTGGACTTTTATGCAACTGTTTTGCCGTTGACTCAATGTTCTCAAAGTGCATTATGAATTGATCAATTTGGCTATTCCTGTCTATAACTGCTATGCACCTTAGAATTTAGTTATTCCCAATTCAGGTAGGATCTCTAACATATATATATAATGCTTGTGTATAGGCAGAAATATTCACTGAGTCATAAGCTTTGTTAGTCATCATAATGAGTATTATTTAAATAGTGGATTTATAATGTGACAGAATTTAAGGGTCGAAGAGGAAGTTGTCCAATAAGGAACTCGTTTATCTCATTGGATTTCTCCTATTGCACTCTATTGCTGAGAATGGTGCCATAAAACTTGTTATGGCTTGATAATCTTCCAGCTATATCTTATGTTCTTTGAGTTGCGGATAAAATTCGCGACAGTTTATGCCCAGAATTTGGAGTTCAGCAACTTTAAAGCAATTTAGTCGAACATTAAACTGACACAGTGGAGCTCAGGAGGTAAATGGGTTCCTATAGCATCCATATCTGTCACCCATTCAAATATAACTTAGTATAGCGGTCTATTGAATCCCCCTCCTGGCGTTGTTCCACTTGAAATGAGCTCCTCCCTAAACAGAAGCAGAAATTTCCATCAATCTCGTTCCTCCCACAGGTTCTCATCATCGTTATAATGAATCAAGCTAACATTATGATTAACAATAATCGAAAAGGTTTAGCAAACGCTTTAAATAACTCGCCCAGGAAATTCAGATGCATTTATATTTATTTATAAGCTTAGCACAACTCATATACTACATATGTACGTATATAAAAATATAAGGATATTTGCTAACTGCTTAAACATGCTTTGCATTTAGTATAAAGCTCAGCGGGTTTTTGACCTGCGAATTTAACGGCATTATCAGCATACAAATACGCGGCAGTTGTGATAGTAGGCTATCACATAAAGATATGAGCTGTACTTGAGCCGAACGTTATCTTGCATTGACTGCGATTATTGTTTATAGAAACTTTGGAACTATGTTCCTCTACTCGCTGAGTCTAGAAGATACATTTTCTGTCTCGTACAATCACTATATATCGATATATACATATATATATTGGGATATGCATATATTTCTATATATTTAAAATTCAATCATTTTATTTATCGTCGTCATCGCTTCGACGCTGGGCCCCATTCGAATGACCGCCGTGTTTTGGTGTGTCGAGGCGAGGCGAGGTGACGTGGCCGTTTGCGTTTTTCTCGGGAAGCTCTTTATTCCCCGCTGTAGGTGATCACGCTCGGAGCATGCATAAATCAGGCGGATGGATATTTCTTTCTTTCTTTTTGTTTTGGGGAGCGCCCTGAAAATTTCCAACAATTTCCTCTTGAGCAATGCAATCAATGAATAATCCAAGATGCGCCACCTACTGGCAGTTTTTATGTGCTTACACCACGATACAGTGGTGGCCATCACAAATGCAGATAATGAGGAATAGAATTTGGCCAAAGCGATTTCATTATCGTTTGCGAAGGAAGGAAGAGGAGAAAGAAGTCAGAGATAACTGTTGCCCATTGCCGTTGCTGTGTCCGTGTGTCGGTGTGTGCGTGTGTGTGCAACTGGAAACTGGAATAAAGGAAGCAATGGAACGTCTGCATATACTACATGCACACCGTGGCCGTGTCATGCGCAAACAGCTGAGGCGCAACTGGAACAAAGGAACGTCTGGAATACGCTTTTGTTTCGGTGTGTTCCGTGCAATTGGCAAGGCTGCAACGCCATAAGAATCAACAACAACGATGACAACAAAAGCAACAAATTTGAGTATACGCACTTATAGTCACGGCCAAAATAAGTGGGCCAACGTGTATAAGGGGGGGAGGAGCATTAGGGTTTGTTTGCGGCAGTAGCACAATACATATATATATATATATATATATATATATATATATATATATATATATATAT